TCAAGTGTTTTCGAAGCTCGCCAAAAGGCTACACCTCAAGATATTGAAGATAGTTACATTACAAAGTGTAGTGTAACATTTTAGTTGGTGTAGGCCCTTGTGAAGGGTAGTTTCGAGACCCTTCTTGGTTGGGGACAGTGTGGCACTGTTCCCCATCACTGTACCTCGGCTCTTGGGGTTTGTAGGAGCTGGGAGTCCTTCCCAACTCGTAACTCTTCCTAATTGTTCGTAACTCTGTGTTTCTAAGACTATGTTGCTGCCATAGTGCCATTCGTTCAATCTGACGCTGTGTCGTCATTTCTTAATGAAATCGTGCGATCTAAATTGCCTAGTGTAGGCGACGTTGAGACGCTCCAGATCCAAGTTGAATGAGGTCATTTGGAGTTGTGAGCAGATCGCTATGATTGTTTAAAGCCGCTGTGCAGAAATCTGACTGCGCACTCTATCTTTGGCTCTAGGCACATTGAAGCCTATTGGAGCCTATTGTGACTATAAAAAATAGGAGGCTCGGCACGATTTTACGAGCTGACCGACGTCTTGACCAAAAAACGCAGACAGGGGAAGATTCCTATTTCCCCTCGCTCCCCCTTCGCCAGTGCCTAGAGAACACCACCAATGTGTTGGTCGGTTCGGTCAGTATGCACGATTGTGCGCAGGTACAAGGCGTAGCTGAAACTCTGAAATCTCCCAAATTATGTGGATCGAAAAGGTTAGAACCTAGTATAATTAAATACAAGGCCTAATCTAGTAGACTGGCAAGAAAATGGTACTAAATGTCTTTGCAAATATAAGTAATGTGATGGTCAGTTTGGTCAGCATGCGCGCCTATAGTACAGGTACCATGCACGTTTGGAATGTCTATATCTGTCAAATTATGTAGATCTAAAAGGTTAGAACATTGTGGGGGGTTGGGGAATGGTATATTATATAGGAAAAGGGAAACATATGTGATACTCGTTGTATTTCTACGTGGAAAATAATGTGTTGGTTGGTTCGGTCACTATGCACGCTCCTGTGCAGGTACAAGGCGTAGCTGAAACTCTGAAATCTCCCAAATTATGTGGATCGAAAAGGTTAGAACCTAGTATTATTAAAATACAAGGCCTAATCTAGTAGACTGGCAAGAAAATAATACTAAATGTCTTTGCAAATATAAGTAATGCGCTGGTCAGTTTGGTCAGCATGCGCGCCTGTAGTACAGGTACCATGCACGTTTGGAATGTCTATATCTGTCAAATTATGTAGATCTAAAAGGTTAGAACGTGGTGGGAGGTTGTGGAATGGTATATTATATAGGAAAAGGGAAACATATGTGATACTCGTTGTATTTCTACATAGAAAATAATGCGTTGGTCGGTTCGGTCAGTATGCACGCTTGTGTGCAGGTACAAGGCGTAGCTGAAACTCTGAAATCTCTCAAATTATGTGGATCGAAAAGGTTAGAACCTAGTATTATTAAAGTACAAGGCCTAATCTAGTAGACTGGCAAGAAAATGGTACTAAATGTCTTTGCAAAAATAAGCAATGCGCTGGTCAGTTTGGTCAGCATGCGCGCATGTAGCACAGGCACCATGCACGTTTGGAATGTCTATATCTGTCAAATTATGTAGATCTAAAAGGTTAGAACGTGGTGGGGGGGTGGGGAATGGTATATTATATATGAAAAAAGGAAACATATGTGATACACGATGAATTTCTACATGGAAAATAATGCGTTAGTCGGTTCGGTCAGTATGCACGCTTGTGTGCAGGTACAAGGCGTAGCTGAAACTCTAAAATCTCCCAAATTATGTGGATCAAAAAGGTTAGAACCTAGTATTATTAAAATACAAGGCCTAATCTAGTAGACTGACAAGAAAATGGTACTAAATGTCTCTGCAAATATAAGTAATGCGCTGGTCAGTTTGGTCAGCATGCGCGCCTGTAGTACAGGTACCATGCACGTTTGGAATGTCTGTATCTGTCAAATTATGTGGATAGATCCAAAAGGTTAAAACGTGGTGGGGGGGTTGGGAATGGTATATTATATAGGAAAATGGAAACATATGTGATACTCGTTGTATTTCTACATAGAAAATAATGCGTTGGTCGGTTCGGTCAGTATGCACGCTTGTGTGCAGGTACAAGGCGTAGCTGAAACTCTGAAATCTCCCAAATTATGTGGATCGAAAAGGTTAGAACCTAGTATTATTAAAATACAAGGCCTAATCTAGTAGACTGGCAAGAAAATGGTACTAAATGTCTTTGCAAATATAAGTAATGCGCTGGTCAGTTTGGTCAGCATGCGCGCCTGTAGTACAGGTACCATGCACGTTTGGAATGTCTATATCTGTCAAATTATGTAGATCTAAAAGGTTAGAACGTGGTGGGGGGGTGGGGAATGGTATATTATGTAGGAAAAGGGAAACATATGTGATACTTGTTGTACTTCTACCTGGAAAATAATGCGTTGGTCGGTTCGGTCAGTATGCACGCTTGTGTGCAGGTACAAGGCGTAGCTGAAACTCTGAAATCTCCCAAATTATGTGGATCTAAAAGGTTAGAACCTAGTATTATTTAAGTACAAAGCCTAATCTAGTAGAGTGGCATGAAAATGGTACTAAATGTCTTTGCAAATATAAGTAATGCGCTGGTCAGTTTGGTCAGCATGCGCGCCTGTAGTACAGGTACCATGCACGTTTGGAATGTCTATATCTGTCAAATTATGTAGATCTAAAAGGTTAGAACGTGGTGGGGGGGTGGGGAATGGTATATTTTATATAAAAAGGGAAACATATGTGATACTCGTTGTATTTCTACATAGAAAATAATGCGTTGGTCGGTTCGGTCAGTATGCACGCTTGTGTGCAGGTACAAGGCGTAGCTGAAACTCTGAAATCTCTCAAATTATGTGGATCGAAAGGGTTAGAACCTAGAATTATTAAAATACAAGGCCTAATCTAGTAGACTGGCAAGAAAATGGTACTAAATGTCTCTGCAAATATAAGTAATGCGCTGGTCAGTTTGGTCAGCATGCGCGCCTGTAGTACAGGTACCATGCACGTTTGGAATGTCTATATCTGTCAAATTATGTAGATTTAGAAGGTTAGAACGTGGTGGGGGGGTGGGGAATGGTATAATATATTGGAAAACGGAAACATATGTGATACTCGTTGTATTTCTACATAGAAAATAATGCGTTGGTTGGTTCGGTCAGTATGCACGCTTGTGTGCAGGTACAAGGCGTAGCTGAAACTCTGAAATCTTTTAAATTATGTGGATCTAAAAGGTTAGAACCTAGTATTATTAAAGTACAAGGCCTAATCTAGTAGACTGGCAAGAAAATGGTACTAAATGTCTTTGCAAATATAAGTAATGCGCTGGTCAGTTTGGTCAGCATGCGCGCCTGTAGTACAGGTACCATGCACGTTCGGTTTGTCTATTTCTGTCATATTATGTAGATCTAAAAGGTTAGAACGTGGTGGGGTGGTTGGGAATGGTATATAATATATGAAAAGGGAAACATATGTGATACTCGTTGTATTTCTACATAGAAAATAATGCGTTGGTTGGTTCGGTCAGTATGCACGCTTGTGTGCAGGTACAAGGCGTAGCTGAAACTCTGAAATCTCCCAAATTATGTGGATCTAAAAGGTTAGAACCTAGTATTATTAAAGTACAAGGCCTAATCTAGTAGACTGGCAAGAAAATGGTACCAACTGTCTCTACAAACATAAGTAATGCGCTGGTCAGTTTGGTCGGCATGCGCGCCTGTAGTACAGGTACCATGCACGTTTGGAATGTCTATATCTGTCAAATTATGTAGATCTAAAAGGTTAGAACGTGGTGGGGGGGTGGGGAATGGTATATTATATAGAAATAATATATATTTTATACAAAAAAGGTGGGTCCTCTCATATGTGCTACATATTAAGAGTCCAAGTACCGTTTGTTAGAATCTAGCAGCAGGAATGAATGAACTAGCAGGATGTAGGAGTACAAGTAGTAAACCCTAATTTGGTTGTACCCCATATGGGCTACCCCACTACAGCCTAGACAATATGCAGCACATACAGTTTGACACACCCCCATAGGCAAAGTGGGGGAGAACAAGGGGTCACACGACCAGTCAAGAGAAGCAAAACAAGCTCAGGGTGGATCACAACGTCACCACGCATTCTGAGCACAAGCAAAGGGCCACAAGGCCAGTTCACATGCAGAGATATATATGCAGCAATAACAGTACAGTGATGGCTACCTAGCAAGAGCCAGCATGCATATATATATATAGATCACAGTACAAGCAGAGACTACAGCAAGTGTGGAAACGTAGGCACAAGGCCCAACAGAGTACAAAAGCGCTGATGATCACCAGACGGAAGTGCCTTGGTGAAATCTATCAGCAGTGTTGGCCCGAGTGGCCACGTGGCGAAGACGAAGCTGGCCTCGCTGCTGCAACTCTCGAGCCAGGAAGTAACGCAGAGCAATGTGCTTCGTTCTGTGCTCCAGTCTGTGCTCCTCACACAAGGCAATGGCGGCCTTGTTGTCGACGTACAGCACTGGAGGAGAACGAGGCTACACTCCCAAGTCAGTCAGCAGGTAGGTGAGCCAGCGTAACTCCTGTGCAGCCATGGCGGTGGCGTAGATCTCAGCCTTGTCGGAATCAACAGACAGGAATGACTGTACTAGCACAAAGTTTGATACAAGTAGGAAACCCTAATCTAGTGTACCCCCTAAGGTGTAACCCACTACAGCCTACAATCATATAAACATATAATGTTTGACACACCCCCATAGGCGCAGTGGGAGACAACCACAGGGTCACGAGACCAGTCAAAGCAAAGAAAGGCAAGCTCAGGGTGGATCTCAAGGATTCCACACAAATTCCGAGCGCAAGCAAGCGGTCACAAGACCAGTCCACATGCAGGTTTATAATAGAGCAAGAGATACAGCGATCACAACCTAGCAAGAGTGAACATGCAGGTATACATATAGATATAGTGATCACAGTACAAGCAAGGTCAAGAAGTAAGCAAATGAGGTCCAGTAGGCACAAGGCCTAGCAGAGTGCAGAAGCGCTGATGGTCACAAGGCTGAAGCGCCTTGGTGAACACATCAGCAGTGTTGGCCTCAGTGGCCACGTGACGAATACAAAGCTGACCGCGCTGCTGCAGCTCTCGAGCAAGGAAGTACCGCAGGGCGATGTGCTTCGTTCTGTGCTCCAGTCTGTGCTCCTCACACAAGGCAATGGCAGCCTGGTTGTCGACGTACAGCACTGGAGGAGAACGAGGCCGCTCTCCCAGGTCGGTCAGCAGGTAGGTCAGCCAGCGTAGCTCCTGGGCAGCCATGGCTGTGGCGTAGATCTCAGCCTCACAACTGGAGCTGAGAACAGAAGAAGAGCGTGTAGAACGCCAAGAAACTGAGCCGGAGCCAAGGCTGAAGGTGTAACCCTGAGACGACCGCTGAGTAGCCTGGTCGTCCGCCCAAGAAGCGTCTGAGTGTCCAGTAAGTACAACTCGGTCTCGCCCTCCAAGCACTAGCCCCATGCCCGACGTACTGCACAAGTAGCGCAACACCCTCTTAGCGGCATCCATGTGCTCCTTCCTGTGACGGCCAGGAGCGACATAGCGTGCAAGGATGCTAAGAGGGTATGCAAGGTCAGGTCGAGTGCAGGTCATCAGGTACATGAGGCAGCCCACAAGCTCTGGATACGGGCCACTCGGCTCTACGGACTCATCCGAAGGCAGAGCTGAGAGCGAGTGACCGGTAGGCAGAGGAGTGGACTGAGGCGAGGAGTACGTGAAGCGGAAGCGCTGAAGGATCTGCTGCACCATGTGTGACTGAGTCAAGGTGATGGTGCGCCGTGCTCTGTCCCGGGTGATCCGCAAGCCAAGATAGCTCGTCAGTTCCCCCAGGTCTGTGCACGTGTGTCTCCTCTGCAGCTCCGACTTCACGTGGGCGAGTGCCGCGGTGTCAGCAGTGGCAAAGACCAGGTCGTCGACGTACACGAGGATGTAGAACGGCGGCAGTGAGGTGTCTGTGCGTAGAAACAGTGACGGGTCAGCAGTAGAGGGAGCGAACCCTAGAGCCGCAAGTGTCGTCCTCAGTGTGTCGTGCCACTCACGCGGTGCCTGGCGGAGACCGTAGACTGGCCGCTGGAGCCTCCACTGGGTACCAGGAGGAACCGACCCAGTGAAACCAGGAGGGTGACGCAACCAGATCTCCTCGTATAGGCTGCCCTGTAAGAAGGCAGTGCTGAAGTCAAGTGAGTGAAGCTCGTAGTCGCGCTGAGCGGCTATGTGCAGCAGCACCCGAAGAGTGGTCATCTTCGGGGTGGGGGAGAAGGTCTGAAAGAAGTCAACTCCCTCTCGCTGGCTGAAGCCTCGAGCAACGTAGCGCGCCTTGAAGACAGGAGGAGAACCCGGCGGCCGTTTCACCCTGAAAATCCACATGCCACTGACGATGTTCGCCCCAGGAGGGGGAACCTCGTCGACGTAGGTGCGTGTGGACTTCCAGGAAGCCATCTCTGCGTCCATGGCTGTCTGCCACTGAGAGGAGTAGGGACCCGCCATCGCCTCAGCGTAAGAGCGCGGGGTCGGGATGTCAGGAGCATCCGGGTCTCCCTCAGGGGCAACTAGTAAGGACACGAGACGGGGCAAAGCAGCAGCAAGGCACTGGAACTCCTCCTGTCTGCCCTCAAGGACGTCCGTGCCAAGAGCACACTCACCCCCGACGGACGGAGGACAGACAGACTCAGACTCAGACTCAGCGACAAGGCTAGCAGCGTAGTCTAGATGACACCGGGCAGCAAAGTCAACCAGCTCAGCGACCAGCGCAGACGCAGCAGAGGACTCAAAGGTAGGGTCAGTGACAACAGTAGCGAGGAGGCGCGTGACAGTGGGACTGGCAGCACGACGGGAGTCAGACTCCGGGTCAGGAAGAGTAGGAAGAGAGGAAGCGGGAGGAGACGGCAGTGGGACACGCTGAGGAGCAGTGGAGGGACGCAGAGTCATGTAGTGAGTGCCAGGGACAGGAGGAGGACGCTCACGTGGGACACAACGACCAGTGCTAGCAGTACGAACAGGCGACGCAGGACGAGACTCAGGCTCACGACGCTCTGTAAGACCTCCCGTGGGACCAGTGTAAGGAGAGGGAGCAGGGAGAGGCGAGGCAGGCGGTAACTGTGACTGCGGCGGGACAGGCGGAGGGTACTCTACGGAGGGAGGAGGACAAGGAGGAGGAGTCTGACCAAGAACCTGCTGAAGGAGCGGTACGAAGTACGGTCGCGGCCGCACAGCGTCTCCAGAACGAGCAGAGACACCAGCAGCAGGGTCCTCAGCACCAGCAGCAGCTCCACCGCCCGGGTCCTCAGCACCAGGAGCAGCTCCAACGCCCGGGTCCTCAGCACCAGCAGCAGCTCCACCGCCCGGGTCCTCAGCACCAGCAGCAGTGCCACCGCCCGGGTCCTCAGCACCAGCAGCAGCTCCAACGCCCGGGTCCTCAGCACCAGCAGCAGCTCCACTGCCCGGGTCCTCAGCACCAGGAGCACCACTCCGAAGACTGCAGCGCCGCGCGTACCACTCTCGGATCTGCTGAATGGGGGGGAGCTCCTGGGTAGGAGGGGAAGTACTGGTACGAGCTCCAGCAGCACCTCTCCGGAGGCGGCAGTACTGTAGGTACCTCTCCTGCAGCTGCTGGGAGGAGAGGGCTCCTCCAGGTGTAGCACGCTCAGGCTCAGCACCTCCAGACACAGCACCCCCAGACGCAGCACCCCCAGGCTCAGCACCTCCAGACTCCGCACCCCCAGGCTCCGCACCCCCAGACGCAGCACCTCCAGGCTCAGCACCTCCAGACTCCGCACCCCCAGGCTCAGCACCTCCAGGCTCCGCACCCCCAGGCTCAGCACCTCCAGGCTCCGCACGGTCAGGCTCAGTACCCCCAGCAGGACGAGAGTCAACAGCTACCTCGACAGGCTCAACCGGGTCTACCTGGGACACACCTGAGGGAGCGGCACCCTGAGGGGGGAGGGGGTCTGGTACCTCAGCACCTGGAGCGAGGAAGAGAGGCGGGGGGGGGGAGAGGGGCAGTGCGGTAGGGGAAGAGGCGGTAGTAGGGGACGGACTCGTCAAAAGTGACGTCTTGAGAGGCCAGGACACGACGCGAGGTGGCGTGGTAGAACTGCCAGCCAGGCGCGTCCGGGACAAAGCCAAGGAAGACACAGGGGACAGCTCGACGGGAGAGCTTGTCCGCGGACGTATCGCGAACAAAAGCTCGAGATCCCCAGACCCGAAAACGCGACGCATCGCCAGCCTCTCCCGTCCAACGCAGTGTCGGAGAAGTCTCCGGTAAGGAGACACGGGGCCAGAGGTTGAGCTGATGCGCAGCGTATCGGACTGCAAACGGCCACAGAAAGTGGGGGGCAGCCGCATGAACCAAGGAGGTACGAGCGACCTCCATGACCAAGCCAATGCGGCGCTCAGCAACCCCATTCTGCTGTGGAGAGGCCGGAAGCGTGAACGACTGCTCAATGCCGTGCTCGGCACAGTAGGCTGCCAGAAGGTCGGAGGTGAACTCACCACCTCTGTCAGAGTGCAAACGCAGGACAGGAAAGTCCGAGCGGAAACGCTCGCTGAGCTGGAGACGAGCTCTGCTGATCCAAGGGATCAAGACATCAGGGACCTCACCCTTGGTGCGCAAGGGGAAGACCGTGGTGTAGCGAGAGTAGTCGTCAACAACAATCAGGAAGTACCTCTCCTGACCCTGTCCACGGACGCGGGCTGGGCCCCACACGTCCAGGTGGAGCGTCTGCAGGGGAGCAGTCATCGGGGGAAAGGAGGAGGAGTGAGGAGCGGCGCGCTGCCGCCCCTCGACACAGGGAAGACAGGGAGGAGCAGGCGAGGGTGGGAGGGGAGGGAGCACCCTGGGAAGACCAGAGACAAGCTGCCGTTTGTGCATGGCACGAAGGCGCTGCACAGACGGGTGGCCAAGTCGGTGGTGCCAGAGAACGGTGTCGTGCGCGAGAGAGCGACACGAGCAGGGGGCCGACAGCTGACCTGACGCAGACACGGACGCAGCTACCTGAGGGGACTCAATGGTCAGTGTGTACAGGTCCGACCCCGGCTGCCGAGTGAAGGTAGCCAGGTGACGGCCCGTCCGAGCACACGTGCAGTGTGTCACGCGCTCGTAAGCAGGGGTGAACTGGTGAACACCCCCGTCCTGGAGCGCACTACCTGCCACCAAGTTCGTAGAGAACGAGGGGAGGTAGAGGCCTGACAGTGTGCCTGACGGGACCGCAGGACAAGGAAGGACAGTGGAGGAGGTCGCAACGACCGGACCCCCTGAGGGGTCAGCTAGGGAGACAGCAACTGGCCGAGCAAGCGGCTCAAGGGCAGTGCGGTCACGAAAGAAACAGCAAGAAGCACCTGAGTCCAGTGTGAAGGTGTGCAGTGCTGCAGTCGACTCAGTACCAGAGGGCACGGACTCACTAGCACCTAGAGCAGCAGCCTCACCAGGACCTGGGGCAGCAGACTCACTAGCACCTAGAGCGGCAGCCGGACTGGTCTGAATGCCCGGGTCGGGCGGAACACGCAAGTACTGAGCACCCTCTCCACTAGTAAACATCGCATACATGGCAGTGAGAATAGCATCAAAGTCTAAAGCCCAGATATCAACTCCCTTCTTCTCCAGATCAGCCCAGCGGGGCAGCTCAGTGGCATCAGGAAACTGGGCACGCCACGCGTCAGTAAGGCGCGCGAAACAGCGCTGTGTGGGATGCGGCCTCCCACACTGCTGGCCAGTGCGGTCACCAGTGCGAATGACGTACGTGCAGGTAAAGCCACGCTGCGCATACCACTCACGGGCGGCCTGAAGCGACGGGGCGGGCTGCTGACTCTGGCCACCGCCAGCGCCTCCACGACCACCACTGCCGCCGCCACCGCCTCGGCCACCTCCACCCCTGCCGCTGCCACGACCACCTCCGCCTCCGCTGCCGCCTCCACCCCTGCCGCCACTCCCGCCGCTGCTGTCACCACCCCCACTGCCGCCACTAGCCTCCCCAGCCGCTCCTCCACTCCCACCGCCTCCACCCCCACCTCCTCCGCCGCCACCTCCACCCTTGCCCCCTTTGCTCTTGCGGCGCCCGCTCGAAGCAGACGCGGCCCCGACCTTCTCAGCACCAAGGAGGTCGACAGCAGCAGCAGAGGCGACAGAGGGGAGGAGAGGGGAAGGGGAACACCCCTCAAAGAACGGGGTGCGGGGGTCGCCACGAGAGGTGCCTACAGCGACGATGCTCGCCTCAGCTGCAAGCAGTTCCTTCTCGAGGAGAGTAATGGTGAGTTCAGTGGGGGAGCGAGAGAGGAAGTGGTCCCTGACTGTGCGCAGGGAGTCGGGGAGGCGGGTGACTATGTGGTAGAGAGTGATCCAGAGCGGGGGGGGGTTGCTGGTGAGGAACTCGTCAGGCATAGCAGCGCGAAAGCGGGCCTCACTGGTCTTAAGGTGGGTGATGAGGTCAGCAACTGTCTGAAAGGAGGCCAGGTCGGGGAACAGGTAGGGGAGAGTGAGGCGGCCTAGTGTGGCAGAAGCGGGGGAGGAGTAGCGAGCGACTACAGCAGTGTACGGGTCTTTAGCAGTTTTGTGCTGGCCAAAGTGCTCGCGCTCGTCGATCGGTAGGGAGTTACGAATAGCGAAGCGAGCGTGGGCGTCACGAGTCTGCCACTGTGAGCGCTGAGTGCTGTCAGCAGTGGTAGGAGGGGCAGTAGCGTTGCCTAGGGCGTGATCGTACAGTGAAACGTCCTCCTTAGCAGTGAGCTGTAGAAAGAGGTGGAGGTCATCGAGCCAGGTTTCGAACTTCACTGGACGGCCCTCAGCATCGAAAGTAAGTACAGTAGGAGTAGCCATAGCGGCAGTAGCAGTAGCGGTAGAAACGGTAAGAATGAGGCCGCAGGGAAGCTGTGGGCAGTGTCAGCACACGGGCGGCAGCAGCTGATGCGCACGGGCAGGAGCGGCAGTGGGCGCAGTAGCGGCGGCCGCAGTGGGAGCGAGTGCAGCAGCGGCAGCGGAAGCAGGCGCAACAGGAGCGCACGGGCGGTAGCGGCCGCGGCGCACGAGCGGGAGCGGCTGCGGGCGACGCGCAGGCGGTAGCTGCAGCGGCGGGCCCGTGGTAGCGGCAGCTGCAGCGGGCGACGAGCAGGCAGCAGCCGCAGCGGGCGACGAGCGGGCGGCAGCAGCAGCGGGCGACGAGCGGGCGGCAGCTGCAGCGGGCGACGAGCGGGCAGGCGCTGCAGCGGGCGACGAGCGGGCGGCAGCAGCAGCGAGCGACGAGCGGGCGGCAGCTGCAGCGAGCGACGAGCGGGCGGCAGCAGCAGCGGGCGACGAGCGGGCGGCAGCAGCAGCGGGCGACGAGCGGGCGGCAGCAGCAGCGAGCGACGAGCGGGCGGCAGCTGCAGCGAGCGACGAGCGGGCGGCAGCAGCAGCGGGCGACGAGCGGGCGGCAGCTGCAGCGGGCGACGAGCGGGCGGGCGCTGCAGCGGGCGGGCGGCAATGTGCAGGCCGGCGGGGCCGCTGCGGGCTGCGCTATAGCGGTGCGAGCGGCGCACGGGCGGCTAGCCGGTCGCGCTCAAAAGAAATCAGCCGCGCGCGGGCAGCTAGCGGGTCGCGCGCGGTTAAAAAATAGAAAACGAGCCGCGCGCGATTGGCTGGCGGGCTGCGTGCGCGCAGTAGGTAGGAGGCGCACTGAGGCGCGTAGGCGCACGAGGGCGCACGGTAGGTAGGTAGGTAGGTAGCGGTGGGCCCTAAGAACGGTCCTAGCGAAGGACCTGCTCTGAAACCATGTCGGAATCAACAGACAGGAATGACTGTACTAGCACAAAGTTGGATACAAGTAGGAAACCCTAATCTAGTGTACCCCCTAAGGTGTAACCCACTACAGCCTACAATCATATAAACATATAATGTTTGACAAGCCTCACAACTGGAGCTGAGAACTGAAGACGAGCGTGTAGAACGCCACGAAACTGAACCAGAGCCAAGGCTGAAGGTGTAACCCTGTGACGACCGCTGAGTAGCCAGGTCGTCAACCCAGGAAGCGTCTGAGTGCCCAGTGAGGACAACTGGGCTCGTCCCTCCAAGCACTAGCCCCATGCCTGATGTGCTGCACAAGTAGCGCAGTACCCTCTTAGCAGCAGCCATGTGCTCAGGTCGGTGCCGACCAGGAGCCACGTAGCGAGCCAGGAGACCAAGAGGGTACGCGAGGTCAGGTCGAGTGCAAGTCATCAGGTACATGAGGCAGCCGACTAGCTCTGGGTAAGGACCACTCGGCTCTACAGACTCGTCCGAAGGTGGAGCAGAGAGCGTGTGACCTGTAGCCAGAGGAGTGGCCTGTGCTGAAGACCAGGTGAAGCCGAAGCGCTGAAGGACCTGCTGCACCATGTGTGACTGAGTCAAGGTGATGGTGCGACGTGCTCTGTCCCGGGTGATCTGCAAGCCAAGGTAGCTGTGCAGCTCACCCAAGTCTGTGCACGTGTGTCTCTTCTGCAGCTCCGACTTCACGTGGGCGAGAGCCTCAGTGTCAGCAGTGGCAAAAACCAAGTCGTCGACGTACACGAGGATGTAGAACGGCGGCAGTGAAGTGTCGGTGCGCAGAAACAGCGACGGGTCAGCAGTAGAAGGCGCGAACCCAAGAGCCGCAAGCGTAGTCCTCAGTGTGTCGTGCCACTCACGTGGCGCCTGGCGGAGACCGTAGACCGGCCGCCGGAGGCTCCACTAGGTACCAGGAGGGAACGACCCAGTGAAGCCCGGGGGGCGGCGCAGCCAGATCTCCTCGTGCAGGCTGCCCTGCAGGAAAGCTGTGCTGAAGTCAAGAGAGTGAAGCTCGTAGTCACGGTGAGCAGCAACGTGCAGCAGCACCCGAAGAGTGGTCATCTTCGGGGTGGGGGAGAAGGTATGGAAGAAGTCAACTCCCTCTCGCTGACTGAAGCCTCGAGCCACGTAACGCGCCTTGAAGATAGGCGGAGAACCCGGCGGCCGCTTCACCCTGAAAATCCACATGCCACTGACGATGTTCGCCCCAGGTGGGGGAACCTCGTCAACGTAGGTGCCTGTGGACTTCCAGGAAGCCATCTCTGCGTCCATGGCTGCCTGCCACTGAGAGGAGTAGGGACCCTCTATCGCCTCTGCGTAAGAGCGCGGGGTCGGGATGTCTGGTGCATCCGGGTCTCCCTCAGGGGCAAGTAGCGAGGACACAAGATGAGGTAAAGCAGCAGCAAGACACTGGAACTCCTCCTGCCTGTCCTCAAGGACGTCCGTGCTAAGAGCACACTCACCCCCGACGGACGGAGGACAGACAGACTCAGACTCAGCAACAAGACTAGCGGCGTAGTCTAGACGACAGGCAGCAGCAAAGTCAACAAGCTCAGCGACCAAGGCAGACGCAGCAGTAGACTCAAACGACGGGTCAGTGACAACAGTGGCTAGGAGACGCGTGACAGTAGGGTGCTCAGTACGAAACCGGTCAGACTCAGGGTCCGGAACGGCAGGCAGAGAGGACGCAGGAGGAGAAGGCAGAGGAACAGGCGGCGGAGCAGAGGAAGGACGACGGACTACAAGGTGTGCGCTGGGGACAGCCGGCTGACGCGAACGAGGAACACGACGACCGGTACGACCAGGACGAACAGGCGAAACAGGACGCGACGCAGGCTCACGACGCTCAGCAGGACTACCAGTCTGCTCAGTGTAAGGAGAAGGAGCAGGCAGCGGTGAGCCAGACTGTAACGGAAGACCAGTAGACGACGGAAGAGTAAGAACCTGACGAAGAACAGAGGCAGACGGCGGCAGAGACGACGGAGACGGCGGAGCGAAGAACAGTCGTGTCGGCGCAGCTGCACCAGTACCAGCAGCTCCAGCAGCTCCAGTGCCTCCAGCAGCTCCAGTACCTCCAGCAGCTCCAGTACCTCCAGCAGCTCCAGAAGCTCCAGGCCCAGAGCCGACACCTCGAGTCCCAGGGTCTCCAACCTCTGTGTCTCCAGCAGCAGCACCCCCAGAACCAGCACCTCCAGTCCCAGGGTCTCCAACCTCAGGGTCTCCAGCAGTAGCACCCCCAGAACCAGCACCTCCAGTCCCAGGGTCTCCAACCTCAGTGTCTCCAGCAGCAGCACCCCCAGAGCCAGCACCTCCAGTCCCAGGGTCTCCAGCCTCAGTGTCTCCAGCACGAGCACCTCCAGAACCAGCAACTCCAGCACCTCCAGTAGACAAAGGACCAGCACGACTCCTAGCTCCAGCAGCGCGACGCTGACGGCGACCGTACCAGTCCTGCAGCTGCTGTGGGGTGAGAGGCACACGTGGACGAAGGCGGCTACTCCAAGGAGACCGCGCAACAGCAGACTCAGAACCCTCAGCGCCCGCACCCCCAACGGCTCCAGAACCTCCAGCGCGAGCACCCTCAGCAGCTCCAGAACCTCCAGCTCCAGCGCCACCAGTAGCTCCAGAACCTCCAGCGCCAGCACCCTCAGTAGCTCCAGAACCTCCAGCGTCAGCACCGCCAAGCTCAGCACCCCCAGACCCCTCACACTCAGGCTCAGCACCACCAGGCTCTACACCCTCAAGCTCCGCACCCTCAGGCTCAGTACCCCCAGGCTCAGCACCCCCAGGCTCCGCACCCCCAGGCTCAGCACCCCCAGAAGTAGCACCCCGAGCAGGACCACTCTCAGTAGGACCTGAGTCACCAGTGACCTCAACCGACGCACTCAAGGGAGGAGGGTCTACCTGAGAAACACCTGAAGGAGCAGGACCGGGAGCGGGGAGGGGGTCTACCTGGGGAGCACCTGGAGCGAGGAAGAGCGGCGGGGGGGGGAGCGAGGCAGTGCGGTAGGGGAAGAGACGGTAAAAGGGAACCGACTCGTCGAACGTGACGTCCTGAGACGCAAAGACACGGCGCGAGGTGGGGTGGTAAAACTGCCAACCAGGCGCGTCAGGGACAAAGCCAAGGAAGACACAGGGAACAGCGCGGGCGGAGAGCTTGTCCGCGGTGGTATCGCGGACAAAGGCACGAGCACCCCAGACCCGGAAACGCGACGCATCGCCAACCTTCCCCGTCCACAGCAGTGTGGGCGAGGTCTCCGGCAAGGAGACACGGGGCCAGAGGTTGAGCTGATGCGCGGCGTACCGGACCGCAAACGGCCACAGAAAATGGGGGGCAGCCGCATGGATCAGGGAGGTACGAGCGACCTCCATGACTAAGTCAATGCGGCGCTCAGCGACCCCATTCTGCTGCGGAGAGGCCGGAAGCGTGAACGACTGGGTGATGCCGTGCTCCGCACAGTAGGCTGCCAAGAGGTTGGAGGAGAACTCACCACCCCTGTCAGAGTGCAGACGTAGGACAGGAAAGTCCGACCGGAACCGCTCGCGGAGCTGGAGACGAACTGCGCGGATCCAGGGGATCAAAACAGCAGGGACATCCGCCTTGCTCCGCAAGGGGAAGACCGTGGTGTAACGCGTGTAGTCGTCGACAACCAGCAGGAAGTACCGCTCGTGGCCCTGTCCCTGGACGCGGGCTGGGCCCCACACGTCCAGGTGGAGCGTCTGCAGTGGAGCCTCTGTGGGAGGAAACGAGGAGGAGTGAGGAGCGGCGCGCTGCCGCCCCTCGACGCAAGGAATGCAGGGCGGCGCAGGCGAGGGAGGGAGGGCAGGCAGAGACCTGGGGAGACCAGAGACCAGGGAGCGAGAGTGCATGCTACGCAGGCGAGGCAAGGAGGGGTGACCAAGGCGGTGGTGCCACAGGAGAGTGTCGTGCGACAAAGCGCGACACTCGCAGGGGGCCGCCAGCTGACCAGACGTAGACGCAGACGCAGCTACCTGAGGGGACTCAGTGGTCAGTGTGTACAGACTCGAGCCAGGTGCACGGG